CCCAAAATCAGTGCGCTACAAAGGACTTAGTGAAACTTACTGAACGAAGACGAAATGGTGGATCATAATCTCTGGCTGCAAGATAAGCAGAAACAGAAAATGCTACAGTTAGCATTGATCACTTCACGGGATAAACTTCCACTGTTATGCTGACGATACTCAGCTATATTTATCCATTAACCCTGATGAACCTAATCGGTTGGGTAGATTACAGGCTTGTCTTGAAGACATAAAAAAATTGGATGACTCAAAACTTTTTGCTTTTAAATCAAGACAAGACTGAAGTTCTCATCTTTGGACCTGAAATTCAGAAAATGAAATAGCTTAGCTAATCGCCTGACCTGAATGGCATTACATTAACCTCCGAGAACAAAGTAAGGAACCTTGGTGTTATCTTTTACCAGGACATGTCATTCAAATCCCAGGTTAAACAGGTTTGTAGGATTTCCTTTTTCCACCTTCGGAATATTGCTAAGATTAGAAACATCCTTTCCAGGAGTGATGCTGAAAAACTAGTTCATGCATTTAATACATCAAGACTGGATTACTGTAATTCATTACTCTCAGGAAGTCCACAGAATGTAGTTAAAAGTCTTCAGCTTGTCCAAAATGCTGCAGCTAGAGTTCTGATGAGAATTAAAAAGAGAGATCATATCTCTCCTGTCTTAGCTTCCCTACATTGGCTACCTGTTAAATTCAGAATAGATTTTAAGATCCTTCTTCTCACATATAAAGCTCTTAATAATCAAGCTCCATCATACATCAGTAATCTGATTGTTCCATACGTTCCTAACCGAGCACTTCGTTCTCAGACTGCAGGTTTACTGGTGGTTCCCAGAATATCTAAAATTATAATGGGAGGCAGATCTTTTAGTTATCAGGCTCCTCTCCTACGGAGAGGGCAATGTAGGTTTGGATTTTGTTCTCTCCCTAAATAATAAAAAACAATCATTTCAAAACTGCATTTTGTGTTTACTTGTGTTATCTTTGACTAGCGGTTAAATGTGTTTGATGATCAGAAGCATTTTGTGTGACAAACATGCAAAAGAATAAGAAATCAGAAAGGGGGCAAATAGTTTTCACACCACTGTATACATTATATCCATTCAGCTTAAGGTGCAATACAGTTTTCCACCTGCAGAGGGTGTCCTCTGAGAAAAACTCCAAATATCTGCTTAGAGAGCAAGTTAGCCCCTACCAGAGTATTACTTTGCTTCCACTTCCTGTATGAAAAATGGAACAAATGCTGTTGCCTAGCAGACCGAGAGGGCGGAGCCGCTACACACACAGGCTCACAACGACATTGTGACATTATATGACATCAGCCTGAAATGCCAATGCAGAAAAATTGAGCGTTTGTGGAAGAAAACCCATCTCCACGTCCATCTGCTGCACCTAAAGGATCTTCTGACATCCTTTAACTCTGCAGTCAGAGACGCGAGCGTTTCCTATTTCTCCAACCTGGTGTCCCAGAGCAAAGGGAACCCCAAGGTGCTGTTTAACACCATCAGCAGCATCGTCTCTCCTGCCTCTCCTACAGCCTCCATCCACTCTGTTGCAGACTGTGAGAACTTTCTGTCTTTCTTTGTGGACAAAGTCAATAAGGTTAGATCTAGCATCTCTCCTTCAGCCTTATCGCCGCCTCTCCCGACTCCAACCAGGCCCATCATCCTAGATAGCTTTGCTCCTGTTTCTTTGCCTGAGTTAACCAAACTAGTTAACTCTATGAAGACCTCTGCATGCCCCCTCCACATCTTACCGTCATCTTTGTTTAAAAGTGCTTTTCAGTCCATCGGTCCCAGCGTGCTCTCTATAATTAATGCTTCTCTGGTCCCTGAGGTCCAGTGATCAAAGCCTACTGGTTGTGCAGCACCAGGCTAAAGACCAAAGGTGATAGATCATTTGCTGCTGTGGTCCCCAGACTCTGGACCTCTCTCCCCCTGAGCCTGAGATCAGTGGACTCAGTGGTCTCCTTTAAAAAGCAGCTGAAGACTCACTTGTTCAAGCTGGCTTTTGTATGACCTTCTTCACCTCTCTCTCTTTATTCTGCTCTCCCCACCTATTCCACCTTCCTCAGGATCCACTGATTTCCCTCTTTCCTATTCACTCTCTCTCTTTCTTAACATTTTTTAATCACAATTGTCTTTTTTTTGCTCATTTTAAATACATTTTCAAACATTTTCTAAATGCTTTTTTATTGTTTTACACTTTATGTTTTCGTGAAGCGCCTCGTGATTTTTATCTTGAGAGGCGCTATAGAAATGAGACTTTCTTCTTCTTCTTCATATGGTACCAGCTAACGTTTTGGGTACCTCTTAGCCAATAGCGATGGCAGATTTAAATTCAAAGGCAGTGCAGAGTTTTTACCTGAAAACGACACAACACTGACAGTTTCAGGCAGAAAATAAAAATTTTAACAAAAATGCACTAAAGTGCAAAACTATTCACTACACGTGTCTGCAGCACGATTAGTCACACATTTATATAGTTTATCAGAAAAAAAAAGTTGATTTGGGGGTGACTTGCTCTTTAAAGACCAGAAGGGGAATTATGTGGATATATAGCATTAATCTCTAAGGTTTTAAATGTATCCGAGTATTTTTATGATGTGTTTATGCAGCTGGGCGAAATAAATCTGAAACTGGAGTCTAGTATTTTTCTCAAACGTGACACAATAATTCAGTGATGTGAAAGCTCCGTTACTCTCTCCATCCATGCCCCTTTTTTCACAGAACACAAACTTTATTTTATTCACTAGCAAGTTGATTTAGCCCCAGTTTGGGCTGAAATACTAAAGCAGGAGTGTTTGTATGGAGTGTTGCTGCTGGTAAAAAAACAAGCATGCGGCGGACACCCGTCCTAATTATTTTTCCCAGAGATGAGGTCACATTCCTCGAAGCCTAATCATGAAAAGAGGGATAGCTTGTTATTAACCATCTGCCGACAAACAATCACTGAAAGGCATTCATTAAGCCAATTTTTTTACCCCTCATGTCCAAACGATGAAATTCAAACAAACACACACAGAACCCCACAGAGGAAAATCAAACAAAAGATCATCTTGAAATTTTAGCCTCAAGAGCTCCAAGTTTGGAATAACGGAGCAGATTTCTTTCTCGCCTTGAGGCAAGCAGAACTGTGTCGTGATGACACAGCAGGCAATAATGCTATTAGCAGACTATTAGTGTTATTTGATGTGCGTAAGGAAAGCCTTCAGCAGATGGTTTAGTGATGTTCAGGGTATTAGGCTGTTGTCATGGTGAACACTAAAGCTCCAGCAAAACTGTTGGGGAGAATTATTGTGATAATAATCCTTTCTTGTCCTAATGGATTTGTTTCCAGTAATGAAACAAACTGAACAAACCAAATAAAAACAAACATGCAGTACATGATCCATCTTTTAGTTTGATTTCTGGTACTCCTGCTGTATCTGTGAGTCTAAAATCACACTTTACTCTTTTAGAATTATAAATTAGAACAAACAATCCAAAATAAGTGTTGCCTTAAAGTAACACTAAATAGTTTGGAAACTTTAAGCTTGAGCTCAGGTATTGTTGAGTTGACCAGTTTTATATCCGACACCACTCTGCCGCCCTCTGCTGGCCAAAAACCATACTTAACAGTTGTTGAGGGTCTGCCCTCATGAGAAAATTACTATGCAGTAATTTCTCCAAAAAACTGTGTCATCTGCGCTCTGAAAAAGCAGATCATAAATTCCAGCACCAGCAGACTCCATTTCCCATGATTCTCTGCACGGAAGCAATGTGATGATGTCACCGAAGTGACGCCGAACCCCGGAAGCTACACAGCTTGCTCCCGCCCGCTGGCTGAAGAGAAAAGCGAGGCGCAGAGCGGAAAACTTTCTCTTTTGTTCCAGTTCAACTGGCGTGAAGAGGAACTCGTTTGTTACGGCACCGGACAGCGTGCAGAGGAGAGCCGCTGAAAAGCAGCGGAAAACCATCAAATCTGCTCAGCGCGAACGACGAGGGACGCCTTGGTTCGCTCAGAGAAGAGTTTTTCCCCTTTTTTCTCTATCTCTCTTTTCCTCCCGTTACTCTTAATAGTCCGAACATGCGATCAAACCGCGCGATTGCTTCAAAATTAAAAGATAGTTTTTCTCTTCCGTACCAAATACTGTACGTCATTCAGACCATCTTGAAGTAAGATCTTTTCTTTCATTGTAATATCTAAGTTGTTTTGAGCTGAGGCCACAGCATAAACAGATCGTTAGATATTCAATTTTACCTTTGATCTGTTATTCTTCTTTTGTGCTTTGTGATTTGAAGTGTTCCGGTTAAGTTTTACCGTGATTTTAAAGTGTTTGGTTAAGTTTACTGTGAAGGTTTGCTCACATCACTGTTGAAAGTTAAGCCACTGACTGTGTTTGAGAAAACTTGCGCACACACACACACACACCCCACACACCCACACCCACGAGGTTCTCTGTGGTCAGCAGAACAAAGGACCAGCCATTTGGGGTTTTCAGAACCCCTCCATCTTGGGTTACACCACCTCAGATTATTTCACGGTATCATCTCATTGTTTAATCACTTGTTATTCGTTTGATAAAATAAGTTGGTTGATGTTGATTGGCTAAACACTTAGGGAGAAGCTGAAGTGGGTATATTAGTTAATAAATGTTATTGCCAATTAAGCAATTGTCTCAAGTGAGTTTGTTTGTGTTGATATAAAAATAACTGCAGCTCGTTAAAGATTTCACGGAAAGGATAGACAGATTGATAGAGGTATGGATTCATTTTCCCTGTTAAAAGGGATGGTGCCCCAAGGACATCCAAGGATTTCCTAATTACGTAATAAATCAGTAAATATTTCCATATTTACGAATTTATTGGTGAATCCAAAAAAGTAAGTAAAGCTTACAAATTATTCGTTGACTAATAGTCACAACACAGTTTTGTGAGCGAGTAGGTGTCCTATGGGGTAGCCCTTTACCTGGGCCGTTTCTCAATACGCATACTTGTCCGAACTTGAGTACTCACGTCCTTGTGAAACGTCATCAACGATGGCCCAAGGACTGTTCCAATCCTGAGTGTGCACAACAGAAAGTTTGTTCAAAGCTCCCGGATGTCTTCTTGCTCTGCCCATTGTATCGAGGATGCATCAATGCATCCTTCTGCGGACTTGGGACAGTAAAGTTTCCCACAATGCATTGTGTCACAAACTGTCACGATGTGCAGGGAAGATGAGGGAGGAAGAGCGGATCCTTCAGGCAGGTAAATCAACCCAGGTAAGACAGCAATGGACATTTGGTTCCTCTTTAATGGTCAGGAGTGCAGACACGACAGGGTAGACAGCTGTGAACATAAACTGACATGTAACAAGTACGAACTGACAAACTCACAAGCAACACACAAGGCTTATATACACACTGGGATGGGTAATCAGGTAACAAGAGGCAGGTGGACACAATTAAGGTAAAACCCAAGGCACAGGGGAGCAGCAATGTGACACAAACCATTTAACTCCAAATGTCAGAGGAGAAAACTGTAATGTTTTATATTAGAAATTCAAATAAAATAATATAAAGTTGTCTGAAATTGTAAGTAATTCTGTGTAAACTGTAAATTTTGCTGTGTGTGTTTGGGTTTTAGTCTTCACAATCCTTCAAAATGCTATTTAGCTAACCCACTATCAAAATAAAAGCACCGTAGGTCTGTTCTGATGAAAAATAAACTTTTTTTATTAAAGAGCGGGAAATGCTAATATTTTAATGGTTTTGAAATAAACTGGGCCAAATATAATACAAATAATACATTTTTGTTGTTACTTTGTTATTTAAAGAGCAAGTCACCCCCAAATAAACTTTTTTTTGCTGATAAACTAAATAAACGAGTGTCTAATCGTGCTGCAGACACATATCGTCAATAATTTGGCACTTCAGTGCATCTTAGTTAAAATTTAAATATTCTGCCTAAAACTGGCAGTGTTGTGTCGTTGTCAGGTAAAAACTCTGCACTGTATTTTAATTTAAATCTGCCACCGCTATTGGCTAAGAAGTATGCTATGATGTAAACTGGTACATTATGATGTCACAATGCTGTTGTGAGCCTTGAGTGTGTGTTTGTTAGCGGCTCTGCCCTCTCAGTCTGCCAGGCAACAGCATGTGTTGCATTTTTCAAACATGAAGTGGGAGTGGAGTTAGACTCTGGTAGGGGTTGACTTGCTCTTTAACGAACAAACTAGACTTTTATTTTTATGTCAGGTTGTTTTTTTTAAGTGTAGTAAGAACGGTGTTGCCAACTTAACGACTTTGTCACCATTTCTAACGACTTTTCAGACCCCCTTAACGACTTTTTTCAAAAAAAGCACCTAGCGACAAATCTGGCGACATTTCTGACCCCTCTCAGCTACTTTGACTACAACTTTGTAGCCGACTTTACCTGCAGATTAGCGACAGGACCGTCCTTCCTTCCAGAGGATCAGAAAGAAAATGATCTGCGCATGTGCGTGCAGCATGATCACGCTACCCCGTTGGCCAATCAAACCTTTTGTGGGTTTTCACAAGTCCATTATTTGAGATACCCACCGGAGCTACATAAAGGGCGACCGCTCCTTCCTCCATCCTGCCACATTTCGGCAGCTGAGCTCGGCTGGCACTGGCAGGCAGCGTCACACACACATGGCTTCTCGCACCACTTGTGGTGCATTCAAGGAACATTGGAACTCTATGATGAGTTCAATAACGTAGCACATTTAAAGCTTTTATAAAAAACAGAATAATACTGTAAGACAAACACCTCAGGTCATTGGCAGTTTGCATGTAACGTTTCTGAATACTAACAGTTGGCAACACTGAGTAAGAAGCAGCACATGTTTCCAGGACACAACAGAGTACAGTTCTGTTCCAAATGCTGTCCTCGTGCTTCCCTACTCGGTAGAACAGACTTTCTGGTGTCCTCACCAAGAACATACTTGTCTAGTACACAAGAGCGTCCTTGAGTACTGAGAAACGGCCCTGCTTTCTGGTTGTTAGCTGTTATGCTAGCAGTTTGCTTTTCCAGTTTTCCGATCGGCAATAAAAGAGCAAGCTAGCACAACAAGAAAAAGAAGAAGTTTGCTTTTTCTACTGACATCATGGAACTAAAAGTAAGACAGTAATGTCTTTGAAAGTGAAGCAAAGAGCTAAAACCAGAGTGAACATCCGCACAGCCTACGCTAGTTTGAGGGAACTAAAGGAGGCTACAAAACCACGGACAGATGGTGACCTGGCTTTGTCGCTACCGGACTTGTAAGTAACAATATTATTGTCCAAAATTGTAGATCTTTTTACTTTGTGCATTATTTTAGTATCAGTTGGCTCATGCTAGGTTTGGCTTGTTGTTAGCGCTAGCTACAGCAGGCTGCTGCCGCGTTGTTTACGACAGTGGTAATTCCACTTTTAACCAGTAGGGCAGAGGTGCAGGAAACGGAAGCAAATTTAAATAAGTTACAGGTCGCACAAAATAAGGCTGCTAGATTAGTCTTAAATTGTTCTTTTAGAAGGAGTTGTGAGGACATGCATTCTGCTCTAGCATGGATGGGTGTAAGAAGTAGAATAAAGTACTTAGAAAATTTATTGGGAATGTTATAAATACACAGACACCAGACATTATTTTAAAATCAGTTGACAATTTTTTAAGATGTTCACCAACATGCTACGTGTCAAGCTGATGGCTGCTTTTTGTTGCCAGTTAGTCGAACTCATTTTCTTCATAGGTCAGAATTGTATAGAGCTATGGTGGAATGGAATAGTTTACCACAATTCTTGAGGGGTCAGCTACAAAAGAGTGATTTTTGTGGGATGTTGCGGATGTTTATTTATACCCTTTTTACACAAGTTTGAGGAAGATGAGTTTTATGTTTTATTAATTTTATGTTTTGTTGTCCAGTATGTGTGGAGTAATTTGCGTTTTGTTACAGGAAATGTATGTTATTTTGGTGCTGTATTGGGTGGAATGTGGTGTGCTCTTATAGTGGAGATTTATATTGTATAGTGAGCAGTGTTGGGCAAGTTACTTCAAAACTGTAATGCATTATTTATTACTTGTTACCCTCATTTTAAAGTAATTCATTACATTACAATATTACTGATTTTATAATGTAAGGCATTACACTACTTTTGCATTACTTTAAGTTACTTTCACCAAAACAACTTCCCTATGAGTTTGGTAATCTGATGCCTGGTGAACTCATGACACATCTGGTGGAAGGTGATGTGGTGTCTGAGCTAGGATTGCTGTTAAAAACAGTTCTTTAGAAGGATTGTTTATGTAATAAATGCAACAACAATCTGTACTCTCAGCACGCTGCCATCTTAGATTAACTGAGCGGTGAGTAAGGTGGTGGGGGCTCTAAGCCTATTTGCCTTGGTCCCCAAATGCCTTGATACGGCCCTGGATGTGGGACTGATTTCTGGGGTGATCTGATTCTATCACATGTATAAATATTAAATGCTTATATATTATTGCTTTTCACTGGTAAAAATGAGTATTGGGGATAAATCTACTTACTTTTTTTCTTTTCAAGCACTTTGTTTTGTTTTCTTGATTTTATTTGAATAATTTCCTGCCCTTTCTCTCTCTAACCTTCCTGCATGCTGCATGTTTTCTCCATCTTCCAGAAAAACTGTTTCCTAGATTTCCTACTTTCTAACGATCAGCCAGAAGGATCTTCACATGAGCGGCGCTCTGGCAAGAGCTGAAATCACCGGAGCCCAGATTATGAATTCAGCTGAGGCAAAGCATGTCAGAAAAGCACAAAATACCAGAGAATATGCGCCGATATGAACGATCGCAAGTGAATTATTTTGTTTTAGTGGAGCAATTTTGTGAATGTTACAGCGGCCGCGTGCAGGACGCAGCTGGAGTAGTTGAGCCGTTACCGCGGCGTCCTCTCTGCCCGCAAAGCTGAGTCCATAAATGACGTAATATATGCAGATACTGGATCTTTTTTCGGGTTTCCCGCTATTTGAATTTTTAAGGAACACATCTTGATTCTGGGTTTAAAAATGCATTGTAATTACCGCGTTACTGACAATTGTACCGAGTAAATATTACCATTTTATTTCCCTGTAATGCCTTACATTACCACATTACAGCAAAAAGCAATGCATTACAGTAATTAATTACTTATGTATCGCGTTACTCCCAACACTGATAGTGAAATGGATTGTTTGTTTGTGAGCCCAGTGTTGATGCATGAATAATATTTTCTTTTTGGATGATGTTATGACCCCAGGAAGAATAGCAACTGTTTCAACAGTGGCCAATGGGGATCTTAATAAACAAACAAACAAAAAAACAAGGCCATGATGACTCTGAAGAATGTACTGCCATCTAGTGGCTTAAAGTGTGAGTTGCATCCAACTAAATGTCCAACAAGATCTTTTTTATTGAAGTTTTGCTCTGGAAATCATTGTAGTATGTCAGTTTCACGGATATATGTATATATATGTATGTGTGTGTGTGTGTGTGTGTGTGTGTGTGTGTTTTATCTATGTGTCCATTTAATTTGAAACAATTTAAATCAGCGTTGACTTTAATCAAAACAGCAATAGTTTGTTGTTGCTTTCAAATAATTCACAGCATGAAAAGATCCTTCTTTCACCTCAAGCTTAAACATCCAACTCTGAGAAATGAAACAAAATCATTTCCTGTCTGGTTTCTCTCCCCTTCGCAGAGGTTATCTGACAACCAAAACAAAGCAACAACAAACACAATAGAGTCCAATCTGAGCAGATAAGACATCTGACATACTGTTCAAATAGTGGGAACGATCACATATTTGCTCTCACTGGTTTTTCCTTTTTACTTTTTTTTCTTATCAAAATTGATATTTCACAGAGCACTCTTGTCCACGTTTACTATAGAAGAGCTGATTCTGCTGAAGGTCACACCGACATCTATGCTGAATGAATGACATTTAGAGCACACTTTCTTATGTTCTCATCATTTACTTTGAAAGCTGTTACAGTAAATGAGCAGAACATGCACACATACCCAAATATTGACTAAACACCAACAGAAGGGACTTCTGCAAACATCCTGTCTCAGAATCAGTCAGCTTATTTTATTTCCTCAATACTATCCTTATGAAGATCATTGCAAGGGTTTAAGCACGTATTAGTAATTATAGTAATAAATGTTATAGTTATCTGTGATGAGTATGGCTTACAGCTGATGAAAACACCACATTCAAAAACTCAGACTATCAGAATCTTGTGAAAAGGTCCAATATTTTCACACTCTAATCAGCTGATGAATCTAGAGCACCTGCAGATGGCTCCTGAGCCTTTAGA